ATCAGACTGATTACAAAGACTCTCAGTAAAGCGCAGGAGAGACAATAGTATAATAGCAATGGACAATTTCTACCTCTATTGCCACTGCTTTATACTGTCCATTATTGCTACTGTATTAAACTGTAGCTACTGTTACTTTACTGTTAATTTAATCCGTATCGTATCCTATCTTCTATCTAATCATATCTATCTATCTCATCGTATCTATCTATCTATTATTTCTATCTATCTATTTATTTATTTACCGGTAGTTAGGGGTAGTCAGTGATAGAATAGGGGTCCCTTAAGGAGAAAGTTTGACACCCACTGGTCCAATGTGCACCTGTGAGGGTCTTTGACATTAAAAAAGTTTGCTTTAGACAATGTAATCCCAGTGAAACCCTCTGTACCAGCTGTGTGCAGCCCTGTGACAAAGGGCCCCAGTTCTCCACACACAGGCCCCGTCCTGCTCCCGCTGAAGGCGCCCTGGCCCTCAGCCAATCGGGGCGGAGCAGGACGTGACGTACACCTCAGTGCAAGGAAGCCCCCGGAGTGGCGCGCCAAATTTCAAAGGACTTCCTCCTGGAGGACAGAAGGCGAAAGAGCCGCACCGAGTCTGTCGAACAACGGCGATAAAAACCTGCAGAAACAATAAAGAGTGGGTTCGGTTGAGGAGTTAAAGGCGCTGGCGGAGGAGTGTTTCACATGAACTCTGCGTGCAGCTCTGGTGTTGGTGTAAGTGTTTGACTTTCATTCTGCCCTACAAGGAACTAACGTCAGCTAGCTCAATCCTGTTTCTGACAAGCTAAAAAGAAACCAGCACTACGACATTAACTACTATCGATCTCCTGTTAACGTTAACCAACGCATGTTTGAGTGGGAACGGTAGATTACTCGAGGATTGATGAAGTTATTGTTGCAAAAATAAAGTTTTTGTGGTTGACAAGCGGTTGCTTTCTGTTGGTTTTGGGGTCTTTGCTTTGTGTGCTGACCCCATGGTGTGTCAGCCTGTCGTGCAGCTGATGCCCGGCATGCGGTGCAAACTGCAGCAGGTTCACACACACACAGGCTGACAGTTTTTATGGTCTCTTGTAAAATGCATCTCCTGTATGTTCTCTGTTTAACTCTGACATTAGTTTAATTTAACGCGAGCCTGTAACTTTGGTGCTTTTTATGTCGTCTAAAGTGTCAAGTAAATTCTATTTGTAAAGTCTAAGCTGTTTTTCTTTTCTTCTTCCAGACACTAAGCAGAGCAATTAGGCAACAAGCCATTTTTGTTTCAAAGCTTTTCCTCTTTGTTTTCTTTCAGATCAGACAGTCCTCAGCCGTTACACCCTGTCAGGCTTCCCACCTGTGAGACGGCTGATGTCAATTGATGTCAGGAGCCTGGGATTTTAATCTCACTCACACTCACTCACACACAC